GTCCATTTATCAATTATTTCAATGGTTTTTATAATGTATGGTTAGTGAAAGTAAATATAATTAAGCACTGGGTGTGGATAAATAGATACTTAGATCTTAGACTATTAAATATGTGAATTTTATCCCTATCATACACTTTTATTGTGGATTCATTAAGCGTTACTGTAAGTGATTGTATTCAATAAAGTTATTATCCAGCATAATCTACATCATGAATTGTTTATCTGCTATAATGTGGTCTAGTCAAAGTATATTGTATCACTAGGATAGGGGTTGTGGAAATTATTAAGTTTTTGATTGAAATCATGAACCGATTGATGTTAGACCATCATTGAAAACCTGGAAGCACTGGGAGGCCGTTTCGTCCTATTGTGTGACTCTTCAACACTGCGCACCCACTATCCCGCCTGCTGGATTCAAACCCAGGGTCTTAGGCCTCGCGCGCGAACGCTTAACTACTGAGCCGGCATCCAATGTTGACAGTGTCTAACATCAACCAATCTACGAAATTAGGCGACCAACTTCCATTGTACTGAGGTAGATACCTGTCTCTACCTGACATGGATTAGCTCCACTGTTCACGGCTTCTCACCAGTGAGCAAATGTTGATTACTAGTTTAAGGGTTGTGGAGTTTATTAGGTTTTTGATTGTGATCATGAACCGATTGAGGTTAGACCACCTATGGAAACCTGGAAATACTGGATGGCCATTTCGTCCTATTGTGGGACGTCTCAGCATTTCTCATCCACGGTCGTGCAATTTCGTGGATTGGTTGATGTTAGATACTATCACCATTGAATGGCGGATCAGTATATCGTATCAATCCAACATCCAGTTTAGTATTAATAAAGTCTCAATACTAAGTACATTATAGTCGTATAACAGGGAGAAACGAAAAATATTTTTATTCTCCCATTATATCAACCTAGTTCATAACAATATTCTTCTGTTTGCTATAATGTAAAATTTACCATTGATTACAACATTTCGTGCCTCAACCTTAGATTAGATACTTAACAAATAAAAAAACATAGACATATTCATCTAATTATTGAGTAGATAATATTTCCCCCACCCCCATCCCTTCTTGTTGTAATCTACAATCTAATGTTTCTATCATCAACTAAATAACTTTCCCCTGATAGGACCGATTACTATTGACTAAATTACTAATTTACATAATGAAATGAAGTTATACATCTAGGCTACTTGAAATGACGTTGAACACAATCTGCATAAGGGCATACAAGTGAAAAAAAGAAAGAAAAACAATGGTGTAATTAATGAAGTATTAACGTGTAGACTTTTATGTGAGATTAAAGAAATACCGCATTATGATTATTGTAATGATAAATATAATGTAAAATAACAAAAGTTAAATATCTGATTACAAATATACATTATGATTATGTAATTAAAGAAACAAACAACTTTGGTGGAGTTTTGTTCTCTGAGCTGGATGGGTTGGTCGTAGGGCTTTCATCGTTCTTCTGAACGACATCATCATCACAAACTTCAGATAGAAGTGAAGTGTTCGTTCAGAAGAACAATGAAAGCTCCACGATCAAACCATCCTGCTCAAAGAACAAAACTCCACCACAATCATTCACTAAGCTACAAATCTTCTCCACCATCACGAGAAAAACAGTGACTGATCTAATCATAAATTTTCAGTAGATTATTTCTTTAAATTGTTTATTGTTATGTAATATGTAAGAATTCAATCATTCAATCATTGCTATCATCTTTTGAATATTTTAAGAGTAGCTATAAGTGATTAGGTTCAATAAGTATCAGATGGCTTTTGTGGATATTACAGTAATTTCAATGGTTAAGATCATGATTCAGTGGATTAGTTGAAGTTAGAAATTAACACCATTGGTTGCCGGCTCAGTCGTCTAGTGGCTAAGTGCTCGCGCGCGAAACCAGGAGGTCCTAGGTGGGGTCGTGAATGCACACTGCTGAGGAGTCCCACAATAGGATGAAACAGCCGTCCAGTGTTTCCAGGTTTTCCATGGTGGTCTAGTTTCAACTGACTCATGATCTTAACCGTTGAAATTTCAATAAGTGTGTTTTAAATTAACTAGAAGTGGTGTTTTGAGCTAATTATATGACATTATAATTGATTGATCACTGATTAGTGATTAATCACATGTTTATCTAGATGTTCAAATGATGATCAAATGTTATCGATCAAACATAAAACCTAAGTTCAGAGATTCAAATCCATTATATTCACCAATTAGTTTATATATCAGTATGGTGCACTTTAAGTTGAGTCACTTAAACTGATTAGAACTTTCAGAATTGCTAGACAGAATCCGATTAACAGTAAATGAATTAGATAAATATGACAGTGGGGAATACTCAGAAGTTACAACTGTTCAGTCGTAAATGTTCATTATAACATATTTACTTTACCCTAAATGATATCATGATTATTTTACTTTCTGTATATTTATTAATAATTGTTAGGCTTGTATAATGATAAGTGGTTGGAATTAGTCGTGAAGAATAAGTCCATGACCTAACTTTCGTGTTAGTTGACACTTGTCAACAAGATTCATCTGTATTCTTGACGGAATAAATGTTCAATGTGAAATTTCAGCATGATTGATACTCAGTGAATGTACCTTAGACTGACACCAGATCAGTTGGAGCGCTGTGACAATATTTATCAATTAGATAACTTCATTATTTTCATACGAAAACCCAATAAATGTCACTAATATTCACTCATGATGGTACTATTAATTCTATGTCAACTAGGTACAATGGTAACTATTAATTAGTTGTTAAAAATATTCTTTCTCCTTGTCTACTCATTACCAACTGTGACATTTAAGCCTTCTTTAAATAACTTCATTTTAATAATTGAATTCATGAGTTGAATAAAGCTAGACCGCCATGGAAAACCTGGAAGCACTGGGTGGCTGTTTCGTCCTAGTACGGGACTTCATTTTAAACAGTTTGACACAAGTCGCTTCTGAATATTGTATTAGGATTGTTGTTTCTTCTATATGTCTCTTGTTCTTGTTCTGTGCAATTTCAAAGTCGATTTCATTGATTAAGATGTGAAAAGCTCCGTTTATCATTATATGACTAACGGTAACTCAAATAGAAAGTCTTGAAATACAATAGAATTACACTATTCTGTAGATCTTATTCGTCTTGCTTAATTTGAATTTATCAAGGTATCAAAATATATGAAATTTAGAAATGAAATCACAATTTGGATATCAACTATTCCAAAATTCTATAAGGAAACAGTTGTTTTCGATGAGCTTCAGTGATAATGATGGTTAATTTGATGCACAAATTTATGACATACATAACACCATTATTCATTTGGTATTGTTTAATTGTATGTTGTCATTGATGATTAAGACTTCAATTGATCAATCTCTTGTTGGCACATGTGCGTCCTGTGTGGACTGCCTCGATATTGCCTTAATTCACAAGCAATATAAACAAAGATGGATAGTAGTTGGCAGTGGAATTGAGGACGCGCGTTTCGTCCTATTCGGGACTCGTCAGCTGAATATACTTGCATCTCACAGTTGATGTTCACCCTGGGACTCGAACTCAGTACTGTTTGCTTCAAAGTGTAACTATTGCTTACTTCTTTATATCATATTGGTTGGTTTTCTATTGAAATCAATCGGAATATTCAAGTAAATTTCAAGTGAATTCTAGTGAACTTAGATTTCACTCCATTGCACAAACAGGCGGCTATCAAGACTCAGTATCTAAGTAGATAAAGCCATGGTGTTTAAAGTGAACGGTACTGGGTTCGAGTTCCGGAGTGAACATCAACACGAATAGAGCTACATCCAGCTGACGTGTCCCATATAGAATGAAACGCGCATCCTGGATTCTACTGCTAGCCACTATCCATCTTCGCTTATAATCCTTGTGAATTAAGGCAATTTCGAAGCAGCATGCACATATGCCAATAAAAGATTGATCGATTGCTGTTCTAAACATCAATCTAAAGGTTCAGACAAACAACACGAAGTGGCTTCAAAATTCACCCCATGGCACAACCAAGTGGCTATCAGGACGTTACTAGATTTGTGTCTCAGAGTGAACCTCAACTCTGAGATGCTGACGTGTCCCATATAGGATGAAACGCTCATTCTGGATTCCACTGTTAGCCACTATCCATCTTTTATTAATTATGAATATTCAATATAAATTTGTTGATAGATAGATTGTTTCTTAAACGTTTTATTTGTCTTCACAAATATATATGTGACTAAATTTTAAAATGACTTGCATTTGTATAATTCTATTGTAATTGATATTAACATTCGATCTGCACTAATAAGGACTAGACAAGCTTGACATTGATCACCACCCAGTGATCAATCAATTGTGATTACATCTCAGTTCTACAGGAGGTCGTTCGCGGCTCGGATAGCTCAGTGGTAACGTCTCTGACTGTGAAGCTGGTTGACACGAGATCGAATCCGTCAGGAAGCACCAGTCCCCTCAAGATTACAGGTACACCTTGATGACGAGTGCCAAGAAACACGAAACTCGGGTCCAGGATTTCCTGTCGACTACCTCCAATCACCATCTTATTTCAACATAGTGCACGCAGTATCGAGTCACCTAGACTGGTGGCGACATTGCAAGTTGATCGATAGCATTCGATCTGCATTAAGAAGGAGTTGACACACATGACATTGATCACTACCCAGTAATTGGTAGGAAAAAAAAGAAAAAATAATAATTTCTAAATTCCAGCAATTTTATTGGTTAAAATAAGAAGCAATCTCATGAATCCTATCAACCAATCAAATCAAAGTATTCAGAAGAATAAAATCTTTTCTTTATTTCATTCATTCATTTAGGATTATCCAATTAAAATTACGAAAGAAAAAGAAAAAGAAAAGGAAAAAGAAAAATTAAAGAAAAAAAGAAAAACAAAAATTGCAAATTCTTTTAATTATAATTCATTATTTCTGATTGAATTAATCATTATTGTTATGTTATGGATGAACCAATACATAATCATGTTATTGATGAATCAAATAATTTACCATTTACAAAAAGTGAAGTAACATTTTTAGTTATTCTATTTGCAGCAGTTATCATATTAGCTGTAGTTGGTAATACAATTGTATGCATATTATTACGTTTTCGTTATTGTAATCTAGTGAAATGTTTTACAAATACATTAGGATGTAAAAAGAAATCTACATTATCTAAATCAATTCATCATCATCATCATCATAATCATAATCATAATCATAATAACAATATTGATCCATGGGTTGATGAATGTCCTAGTAGTCAACATGAATGTAGTTGTGGTAAAACATGTATTGTACAAAATACACATCGTTATGTCATATTTAAATCAATACATAAACAACATGAACCAGGTACAAGTGGTGGAAATTATGCTGGATCTATTACTGTAGCTAATAATATATCAGCATTACCAAATGAAAAACGAACTAATTTCACAACAAAACATAAATGGAAAGCTGATAATTATTTAAGAGGAATGCGTACATCAAGTATAACAAGTTTATTTTTATTTAATCTTAGTTTAGCTGATATACTTATGGCTGTATTATGTATACCAATGAATGTTATTACAGAAATTGTTTATTTATGGTGGCCACTTGGTGAACCATTATGTAAAATTGTACCATATGCACAAGGTGTCAGTGTATTTGTTAGTGCATTAACACATGTACTTATTTCATGGGATAGATTTGTATTAGTATTTTTTCCATTACAACCAAGAATGACACAACGTAAAGCGATTTATTTATTACTTAGTGTATGGATATTAGCCTTAATTATACCACTACCAGTACCTATTGTAAATAGAACAATAAAACGTGATAATGAAACATTTTGTATAGAAGATTGGAGTTTATTATTATCATCTATTAAAACAATTAATATGGATAATTTTACAAATCTGGAACAAATTAAAAATGAAATTACAATACAAATTAATGATAAATCAATTATATTACAAATTGATGTTATCTATACAATATTATTAATGATATTACAATATTTTTTACCATTAGGTATGATATGTGGAACATATACAGCTATAGGTATTAAAGTTATACGTTTACAAACACCTGGTGAACGGGATAGTGCAAGAGATCAAAAATTAACTAGAGCTAAACGAAAGGTAAGTGTGAACACATATATAATCGTATTTTTCGCTAAACTTTATTAAGTTTAAATGACTGATTACCATCATGTAACTTATAGAAATAACCATTTCATACATATATGAGTTGATCTAAGCTAGATCACTATTGAAAATCTTGATAAAAGGTCATACAAGATCATAGATCGATTGAAGCTGGACATTACCATGGTTGCATACTGACTCAGTGAATAAGACAGAAGGTCCAGAGTCCGAGTCCCGCCCGTAAATTCTGGATGCGCACTGCTGAGGAGTCCTGTACTAGGATGAAACAGTGGTTCATGGTCTCCAGGTTTTCAATTTTGGTCTAGCTTATATCAGTTCATGAATTCAACTGTAACAAAACCACAATCTTCATAAGTTCTCATATTGTTATAAATAGTGATTATAGTCCTCACTTATTTCTTATTTTTTTTAATAAACCAGATAATTTCTGAAACAACTGTTGTCATTATTATTTAAATGAAAATAATCTGTCAAAGAGCAGAAAACTAAACTTTATATTTCATACAGTCTACTCATTTTCATGTTATTTATTCAACAGACTGAAAAGTAATAATTAGTTTTCTATAGTTGTAATATGTAAGGAGACTGTAATTAGACGATTGGTATCGAAAAACTGGTGGAAAATAGTGTTAGCTAATTGAAGTTCCAACTCTAGACAAGTGTACAATGAAACGGTCATACGTTGTAACATAAATCAAACAGTTTATGCTTCTGTACTAGAACGTAACTAATTCTTTCGGTGAGACTATAATTTATGAACGAACCAATCACTTATTCATTTGAATCAATAAAGTTTTGGCAATATAGCTGATGTTAGTTCATGATCATCAACTGTAAATCATAATTCTAATACTTCAAACACAGCTTTGTAACCCTCATTTGGTTCTAGTTATTAGGTGGACATTCTCAAGGTCAGTCTAGTGTTGCTCAAAAGTCATTTATTCTTTCAACTATTGTATGGTTATTTCATTAAAGTCACTTTTTGACATGAATGTTTTTGCTAATACATTGTTTTATTTGGTTTTTGTAACTGTGGTAAAAAAGTAAGTTGGGAAAAGAATTACTTGATGCTTCAGAAACATGATGATTTGTCCTGAAAAATTCTGAGCACTTCAGTTTGTCCTTAATCTTTATAAAACAAAATTCTGAAATTTATTTCAATGTCTACACCCTTCTATTTTTGGCATAGATAGATCAATTTTTGTATATATATACAACCGGCTCTGTTGTGAGATAGTAACTCACTTAAGACAATAGTGGACAGTGGCTTAGTGGTCTAAAGGTTAAGCGTTTGTGGGTTCGAATCTCGTGGAGCGGATCGTGGATGTGCACTGCTGACGAGTACCATACTAGGATGAAATGGCCATCCAATGCTTCCTGGTTTTCTATGGTGGTATAGCTTTAATTGACTCGTGAATTCAATTATAAAAATACTCTTTCAATGAATTTATTAGTAGTTGTATTAGATAGTTAGATCTAATAAGCAGAAAGGCTTAAATCGGTAGATTGAATAAACACAGCTTTAATAAGGAATTATTGATGAAACGGGATAAATATTTCGGCTAATCGCTATCTAAATATCGTACTGATAACATCTATGATAATGATACTAAGCGATTTCGGTTTAAATTTAACTGTGAAAATTGTTTTCACTAAGACATCAGGTACAACATTCAATGGTTACTTATTCTCACAAAATTTAAGGTGTACATTGTTGACTAATGTCAATTAATATAAGACTAAGAAGTAAGGTTGCCTTCTGATAGTCTACAATCATCAGGTATAAAAGCATACTGTATGCAATATTGAATATTCACTATACCTCATATACAGAAATAAATTAACACTGCAGGCCAAGAAAAACACGACATCAGCCCATATACAGTAATGCATTGATTCAGCCTATTTATGTTATCTGGTAGTAAGTGTTTAAAGTAGTTTGTACTTTTATGTAAGTAAGAAACCAATGAATTATATAAGCTAAATGTATGTATGCAAACAAAAATATTCATTTGCAAACTCATCGAATAATTCTATTTGTATGTCAGTTCAAATACTCATACAGAGACTTTCGACTAGTACACGTTGTTTTATAATCTAGTATTTTGTAACTAGGATGATTGGTTTTTAAATGTAGACACCAAAATGAGGGGTACTTATATACGATTGATGAGTTTTAAGTAGAATGACAAATGCTTCACTGATTTTACTGAAAACTGCATTTGGTTATGTAGCCTACATGGCAACTTTAACAGACCACTACAACCCAGAATATCATTAAAGGGATAATAAGAATATGTACAGTTTACCATAATTACGTCATATGTAATTTCATCAAAATTAACAGGGTGGAATTCTGGTATTTAGATTGGTTCATGCTTACATACTTACTTACTTAATTACCTATGCCTGTCACTACTCGTGGAGGAGCATAGTCCGCTCAACAACACTCTCCATCCAACCATGTCATGGTCAATCCTTTCCAGATCTTTCCAGTTGTTATTCATCCTCTTTGTATCTGCTTCCAATTCCCGATATAGTGTCTTCTTCGGCCATCCCTCCAGGATTACAAGTTATGACTTGCCTCATGATTCAGTTTAATGATTTCCTCAATGTATATCTTATTCACATCCAACGTCTTTTCCTAACTTCTTCTTCAGTCGGAAGCTGGTTTATCCTCTCATATAGTTAGCTGTAGTTCAAGTTACGAACAATGTACATTCCCATAAATCTCCAAGTATTCGATCATCCAGAACTTTTCATTTTTTTCTATAGATATCAAGATTATAATTTATAAAATAAAACATTTTGAAACTTACAATTATAATCAATGGATAACTCTATTGAGTAGTTGATCATTATATTCCATGTTAAGGCTTATCCATATGTTATGAATGTAACTGTCAATGTATTATACTCATTAAATATCTAAAAATATATCCAACTAGTCTGAAGTATGTTGCTGATTAAGTAACTGACTTGATGAAGCAATAGATGATCTGAAAAGTAGTTGGAAGCTTTTGTTTGTTATAATGTTTCAGTAGAATAAAATCTATACCAGAAATGTATAAAAAAGATATTGATTATGATTTGACAATCAATGTTAATATAAACATTCTTTGAGGCGTTTATTTGGAATAAACAACATAATTTTAATAATTAGAGAGGTTTTTTCTTGGATAATATAGTAATTTAATAGTTGAAGTCATGAGTCAATTGATGCTAGACCACCATGGAAAAGTTGGAAGCACTGGACGAATGTTTCGTTTCAGTGTAGGACTCCTCATCAGTATGCATCGACAATCTCTCCTCGTGAGATTCGAACATAGGAACCAACTTCGTGTATTGGTTGAAGTTAGGTATTAACACCATTGGATGCCGGCCGACTCATTGGTGTAGAGGTTAAGCGCTCGCACACAAGACTGATGGGTCCTGGGTTCGAACCTCGTGAGACGGGATCATGGATGCGCATTGCCGAAGAATCACATACTAGGATGAAACGTCCATACAGTACTTATAGTTTTTCCATGGTGGTCTAGCTTTAGTTGACTCATGGATTCAACTATTAAAATAATGCGAATAGTTTAATCTTCAATTTTTTGTAACCAATAGGATATCTCTTCGCCGACATATTTGCATTTAAGAATATTTATTTTAGTTATCTCTTAGATGTCATATTTCATTAAACTTTGAGTCTCGAAAATATACCACAAGAAATTATATATATACATGTATACTTCTAGTAAAGTTGGTTTTTGGCTATATCAGTGGGAGTTTATTTGTATTTTGTATCAGTCAACTCGATTTTATTCCAAACTAGTATTGATGTTCACAGTGATATTCAAACACAAAACGTATCCCGTACATATTTGTGATGAAGCTCAGTGAGTAACGCGTTGATAAGGTATTCGAATCTCAATGTAAATATAGGATTATGAACTGAAAACAGATACTTGAGTTTTAGTGAAACATTTGATTAGTTTTATCATTTAGTCCGAGCGTCTAATAATTCGTTTAGATTGTCTATCTAGTTCTGATAATCTCCCGCTAACCAGTGACACGATAATAGTGTGATAACATTCATGAGTAAAATCTAACAACTATCAATCCATAATGGATCACTCTTACGCTTATCTTCACAATAGCCAAAATTGAGTTCAACACAGTAAGTAGATGAGATAATTACATAGTTCAATTTTATAATCGTAATAAATTTAAGGTAAGTAATTCACAAAAGTTTGAGAACTTTTGAATCATGAAATATTTTACAAGTAGGGGAATATATGGATAGAAGCACTTAGTTATTAGACAACAAATTTATAAAGAATGATATCAGGAAATACCGCTTTGCTTAATGTTTACCTTATTATATAAGAGTACTAACATTATAATTCGTTTTTGATCAAGCTGATGAGTTTCATTTTAAACATGCATTTATGATACTCTTGCTAGACACAATACAACTTTAGGTCAACTTGTGACTAGATGATCACTTTACTGTCGAACATCCCAATATTCTGAATGAAGAAAGTATATAAAATGATATAATATAAACAATGAATATTGAAATGTAGTTGCGTTACAAATTCACGGATACGTCTATTCTCTAAATCCATCTAATTGTAAAATAGAACGCAACCTTCTCCACAATATTTCAACTAAATTGTGTTAGACCTAGAGCTTAATTCGAATCCCTCTTTTTCTTTACATTTCATGATAACTAAACAATTAAACGAACCATTACCAACTGTTAGATTACGTACCAAATGATATCAATGGTAGTGTAGTCGAACATGCAAGTGAAGACAACCATATATGTTTGAACATAAAATTACAGAACATCTTAATGAAATCTGAGATCCATACATTAAATTCTTCATTTGTAAAATGTCAATCGATTGTCTCAAACTTGACTATTCTTTCGTTTACATATCAATCATTCACTGTTATCGTTCTCTTCTCTTCGATCTTCT